TTATTTGGCACTTGAAACTGCTCATATTTATCAGATTTGTAAAGCAATGTGCTCATACTAATAATGAAACTGTTGGAGAGTTAATGACTATTGATGAAAAAATTGAAGAAAGAAGTGAAGTGACGCACGCACAACGGACGGTCGTCAGAGGGTTTATTCCAAAGAAGAAGAAGAATAAGAACAAAAGCGTGCATGAAATGAACGCATCTGAATGCGAAATGACCTATACATAAATTGCAAGAACAAGCCGATGTGCAAGTCAGCGTTTTTCCTTGGTCCCAAACAATTCAAGCAATCAACCGATCCCGCAGGGATAAAAGCTAAATTCGATACAAGATTGAGCTGAACCCTGCGCGTGGTCACTGACGCCACATTGACATCACACCATATTGGTCCTCTGGTAAAAACTACCATTCGCGAACAAATATCTTGAAGACGTACGTACGCTGATGAGCATACAAACTGCGATTGACAAGAACTACTCAAGTTACCTTTGCTTTTCATCCGTACCATTTCTGGATTCCGACGGCCCACCTGAAAAATAACTTATCAAAACTCAAAAACTCAACATCTGTAGCAATAAACACATCAACGAACAGATATTCTACATTGCGTTGAACTCTAAAGCTATTAGCATCGCATGGCTTCTACATCGTAGTAGTCATGGAGTGAAAGATATGGTGCAGTTGGGAGCAAAAATCCTCGATAAATGACCGCATTCGACCTGCTTGGAAGAAGGGACTTACGCACAGTGATTCGCGCTGAAATGCAATTCCAAAAGGTAGAGGATAGGCTTTACTAAAAGGCATGATCCAAGGGAATTGAAATATTTCTTTCAGAAGCTAATAGATTATCTACGACTGCTGCATAACAGAAACGACTTTTCATGTGTTTAGAAGCCGACTTACAAAATAAGGAAAATGCCCAAAGCCTCAGCACCGATTATCGCTTTGTAGGATGCGCCGCGCACACAACTTCCATCCAGACTCGCGGTAGCGTTTGACAATCAGATGTCCATGATCAATGGATCCCAGCCAGTGAAAAGTTCAGTATTTTCAGACTTCCATGCGTGTCGAATGGTATTTGGCCTTGGCCAGGGCGGGACACAAAGATTCCTGAGCAACGTCCTCCATCAGGGAGGAGTGGCCGCGAAAATCTTGAAAATTGCGAACGCCACGCGGGCGACCCCACCCACTCAAGAGTCCCAGGAGGCTTTCTCAATACGACCACCCTTCTCCTCATCCCGACTACCACCCTCGCCATCATGGACTGTTTCTACAGTGTTTGATTCCAAAATCAGTCGACACGGCCCAACCCGCCCACTTTCTCTCCAAAACGGGTCGGCCGTCGAGCGGTGAAGTGGGCGCGGAGGGTATCATGGGAAGTTATTATCTGTTTACATTCATCGAATTTCCTCAAAAAAAACAAACCCTCGCCTGTAAAGCCGTTCTCAACAAATTACTAGTCCCACTCAACCCCTGAATGCGACCCCCTCCTTTCCAAAACCACACAAATGCGACCCCCTCGTTCGAATAGTGCGAACGCATGGTTGACTCTGGTCTGGAGAATCATAAATCACACTTGTTGTAGCGGATCACTTGCTGGTGCTCGTCACCTCCAATCATGAAACTCATATGCAATAAAGAATAACATTTCTCGCATCACCGTACAAAATTCACATCACCTAGATGGGAGGTTTTTGTAGTAGCATTTTTCGCTCCACCAGTAGCTTCCAAATCTCCTGTTAAACACGCTGCTTTCACCTCCAGGAACTAAAACGTTTGAATAATAAACATTTCCTTACGCTATAGGTGGGAGTTGTAAGAGACAGTTATCCCGCTCCCAATGATGCTTTTCTTATTTTTACTTATGCAATCGTATATAGAATGCGTCGGGGAGGGAGGGGGGGGAGGGGCGGAAGATGGGAACTTTTCAGCGGAAGATATGGGTTTGAAGAAGTGACGATATTGCCTCAGAGGCCAGGGTGAAAATCGCTTGAGGAAAGGACAACGGCTCGTCGAGGATTTCTTTCACGCTCTCCCACGCGGATGCTCACTCTCGCCACCGCGAGCCGTCTGTGCTCTCCGCGCATGCATTCACTCTCGACACTACTCTCGCACAGTAGAGAGCCATGGTCGAGGAATCCTCGACCGTTATTCACCCTGGTCGGACACTGTTGAAGAAATATGTAGTATGGACAAAAAAGAAACAGGCGTCTCGTTAGCCGCTTTTTAAAACAACACAACAAAAACTTTAAACCTCTTATTCAACAAAACTGGCAACAACACAAAAAGAGCGTGAAAACACTGTTTTCTCACCAGAAGGAGAGATTTAAACAAATTCAAAAAAGGGACTGTTAACAATAAACACATTCATACAGTAACGCATAATTCATTTCGAGAACTACGACGGTCTCTTCTGCATTTACCCTTTCCCCATTATTTAAGACAAGGTCCGGGATTTCTGGTTGGAATCGAGCCTTCTCCGAGAAAAATGCATTGATACGTAGGAGGGCAGTCGCGCATGATCGAATATCGGGCTTGATCCGACAAGACCAGTACCAAGGCCCTGAGATGCAGCACGGGCCCTGGTCCAACACCATCAAACCTCATCCCCAAGGCACTGCTATTTCCCTTCCTTGGAACTGGGCAGGGAAATTTTATCTTCGTCCCTGGTCCGTCCGTTAATGGTTTTTTTTTTGCCGACGTTACACTTACATCACCTCCACTGTCGCTTACAAGCGTAAGACTTTGATCCCGGACTTTGCCTTCAAATTTGGGATGTAGGGCTTAACAACATTAGTAACCATTTTCCAATATTCTTTGAATTAATTAGACATACATACACTTTGACGTCACTTAATAGATTGAAAGCAGGGCGACTCCATACATACACGACGATTATTACTGGTAAGAATATTATTATATCAAGTCGTTGCAATATGAATGAGCGCTTCAGATAAAGTAAAGACTGAGAAACTATACGAATTTCAGCAACTCTAACGAAGAACTCCATCACTCCCGTCGTTTAACACACACGGAATTGATGAGGCGAAAGGCTGGTGTCAGAGTCCGCGATCCGTCGCTGATTTCGCGCAATTCGCGCGAATCGCAAAAATCGCAAGTGCCCTCCCTATTTGAACATTTGAAACACTGAATATGAAACAAGTAGAATCATGAACAGTCGTCATTCAGCCATCACCATCAAGCATGACGGCGGGATTGGAAGAACACCTTGCAGTATTGATCGGGCACTTGTGATTTCCGTGGACTCGTCGCGTGAATCGCAGCGGAAACCTCGATGGATCGTGGACTCTAATCAGCTTAACGATTGATCGAACCGCTAAATCGTGCTGCTCATGGCCTCGTTAGAATGAATACTCTGGACCAGAAATTTCAATTCACTACTTAATAACTTAGTTTAGTAATTATACTCCACTTATTCTGAGGGCGAACATATAGTGAGCCAACAAGAAAAAAGCGACTGCAGCCGAGTTCGGGAGAAAACCAGCGCAGCGAACATTCATATTGCAATAACATATTATGTCGTGCAACAAGAGTGGCCCGACCTTTACAAACCACCAGTACACAGTACACGAGTTAACAAGAGCTAGCTTAAGATGAACCACTCCAATGCTAACTGCTCTTCCTTGGAGAAAAGGTGTTTTTGGATGCTCACCGTGCGCCTAATTACTCTTGAGCGCAGATTTTATATCCCTGGACCCGAACAAAGTAGACAAAGAGCGTTCACCCGGAGAGTTCGCTAGGAAACTGGTTAACCATTCCCTTCACTAAAAGTCATCGATAAAAATGAGTAGGTTCATCAAAGCTTGACTCTACTTCCGTATAACATTAATAAGATCAATCACGATTTACATCAGCATAACACACGCCAATAACTACTCCTTATCTCGGTCTGCCTTTGTCAACTTTGCGACCAAAAGATCAATTCGGCGACGTTCATCATCACCTCCTTCACCAATATTCGCCTGATATTCCGTCAGAAGCTAAAGTGAAGTCATCTATTAGTAAAGCCGCAAACGATTTAGGAACTTCTGGAAGCGCTATCGCAATATACGGGGGCATCCTTAGGACTAAGCCTAGAAGTGGGCAGGAATTTTCGGGAAAAATAAAATTGTTCATGCACCCTGGATTCTCCAATCTCCCGCCTCGGGCTTATGGTTAGTGCCGATTCCAACAAAAGAAGATGTTTACACGATTTTCATACATTGCCACCACAATGCCCCCGTATCTTGCGATAGCGCCCTTTTGGCGCCAATGAAGGATGCCGCCCAGAACCTTACCGGTAGAAGGATTTTTGTGATCTTCTCCTGCTTCATTTTCATTGAGAACAGTTTTGACGCACGATGCCTTGCTGAGCTAGTGTGTGCACAAACGTCGGCGAGGATGAGTGAAAGGTTTTGTAATGTGTACAAACCAGCATCGACGCTGTACAAACCAGCATCGAGTCGATCGAGGTAATCTCTGAATAAGGTATATTATTCAACATGTTGGACCTCCAGTACAATCTTGTCACCAACTGAATATTGATAAGAGTACGTATTAAAAATTATTTAGATAGCCATTTAGATTAAAAATTCACTGCAGGAGACGCTGATGACAAATCTCATTCTCGAATTTGTAGAATGGTCGCCTCAACATACCTGCTTGTTTTTTTTACAGGTTTTATTCGGCATTGTCTTAAAGATGAAGCAAACGATTCAGGAACTTAAACTTAAAGGTAGGTGATACGATTAATGAAGCGTTGGAGAAGGAAAAATATACCTGCTATAGGCTTTGAGAGCGGTATGATATAAAAGGAAGCGTGCTGGGATGTTGATAATTTGGGACATTTTTAAAAATCATTGTTCGATTTCCTCCAAATTTCATTGTAAAGGAGCATTTCAGTTTAAGCGGCCGCAAATGCTGGCATGACGACTGCTACTGAGATAGACCCATCTGAATGACCTTTGTCGGAGTCTGGCCAGAGAATCGACGCGCAGCATGCAGGCCCAATACACGGTTTTCAGGCCGTTTCTCTCAATTTACAGTCCATATCCGAGAGTTGGGGTAGGTGTGTCACCGGAAATGACGTGGCGGCAGCCGCACTTGATAGATGTCGCGCGGATAAGCTGCTTCCAACATACATCGCTGGATATCAGCATGCTGGCAACAGCTTATCCACGCAACTTCTATCAAGTGCGGCGGCAGCCACGTCACTTCCGGTGACACGCCTACCCCAACTCTCGGATATGGACTGTACCTCAGTACTGCACCATTTACCCCTCTACGTTTCATTTCCAACGTCGACCATTTATCGTATCATCTGCCTTCGATAGGTACTGCGCATATAAATTTAGTAATGGTTTTCAGTGCTGGGTGATGACTAGCACTGATTCCGGCAATTTTTTTGTGTACTAGCTTTAGTTGTTGACTCAGATTCGACAAAATTCGCACTTACTTATGATTCGAACTAATACATAAACAGAAGAAGAACAGTAACCACGTCAGTAACATACCTATCCACATCCTCTTCATCCACAGAGCTATCCTCTTTGCGAGACCTTTTCGCCTCAAACTTCGTCAGTTTCTCTCTAAATGATGAAAAAATTTTCAGATGACTTCAACACTTTCCTCAAGAGATTATCATGGGATCTATAGGACAACAGGACATTCAAAAAAAGCACAAAGTTTCCAAAACAAAAAGAATTTTTGTCGTAGTGCAAACTGATATAAAAGTATGATACTTCTCTGATGACACATCAAAGAGACAGTTTTGATGTGTAATCGGAGAAGCACCATACTTGAAGTTAAATAACAGTTTAATCGCAGAACAATAAGAAATTGCTCCGCATTTTTCATTGTTTTGCGATTAATCTGTTATTTAACCTCAACTTTAACTGAATATATACACCGGTGACCTGCCACCCAATAATCTAGCCATCGTTATCATAATTTTTGAGTATTGATATCAAAGAATTGATTAGGGACTAATACCTAACTACAGGATGAGTCAAACCATGAAGACAGCGTGTGCGCGCGATCATATTCACTTTTTTTGCAATTGACATTACGTGAACGCTAGAGTTAAGAGAGATGCTAGACTCATCTTCATAACCCAGTTTACAAAATACGTTTAGATACCGACTAGCAACGATAAATGTTCAAAAGACCACATAATGAACTCACTTATATTTTATGAACAACTCGATTGCTCGATCAATCTTCTCGTGTTCGTGTTCGACAAATTTACTCATCATTCGTTGGCGAGCAACGTCTCCACAAGAGCGCAGCAACGAGGCGAGAATCTATGTACGAAATGGCATCACAATATTTTTGTATCAGCAGTAGTATCAAGGTAGACCGAATCTCGAAAGATAAAGATCAGCAATAATACACGACGATTCCACGTCTTGAGGCTGAAATGACTGCGCGTTTTTCTCTTAGCGCATAGAGCTGTTAAAGGTAACACCAGCCAGAGATAATGTATACAATGATAAATGTGGCGTTCCCGTGCACGGAAACCAACCGACAAGAGCGCTTAGGGCCTTGCAAAGTAAGCTGCAGCAGCTGCAACTTTTTTCTTTTATCAGGCCGTTGTCTGGTGCCCTCTCATCTGTAGCGCTCTCTCGCCCGGGTACCCCCCAGGAGGCCCGTCGCGCGGCAAGAAGGCAGAGTCGCGGACGAGTCGCAGCGCGTGATGTGCGATGTAGGACGTGCAATGGGACATTCTATTTAACTTGACGCGAAATCCCTAGTACGCGCGCGACTCGTCCGCTGACTTGCCTTCTTGCCGCGCGACGGGCCTCCTGGGGGTACCCCTAGCCTCACACTCTCCTCTCAACGCTTACTTGGACTTGGACGCTCTCGGATTACAAGATCATTCGATATCTTTCAAAAAGAATACATCCAGAGCATTGAATGACTGATAGAGTGAATGCCGATAACCTATGGTAACTTCACCATCGAAGCTGACCAGGAGTTGGAAGTGAAATGGTGCCCCGGTGGTGTAACTGGTAGCACAATTGCCCGGAAAGCAAGAGATCCGGGTACGAATCCCGGCTGGGGCGAAAGTTTTGCCCACAACTCAGCATTCTTGTGATAACTTTCGCAACGCGAACTGCGGCGTAAAACAGCAGTTATCCAATAAAAACAAATTCACAGCATTACTACTGAAAAACTTACGGCACAGACATGTTCCTCGTGTTCGTCAGGCGTGGTGTCCTTCCTCTTCACCTTTGATGGCGTACGCATATAGAGTGGAAAGAGCGTTCGCAAACCTGAGAATGCAGCATCATTAATGTCAATAGTAAAATATTCTCAATAGTACTTGAAGTGATTACTCACGACTGCTGAAATGTTTTTTGCTTATTGCCAACCTGGACCCCAGATCCTGACGAATAAACGTTCAATTGTTGAGCAAAGCTTGCCTCATATGAAGAAGATACAATTTTGAGAAAGCCTGGCACACCCTGAACGACCTCCCTTGTTAGATGCATTGGAAGACGTCTTCGATGAGGATCGATTCTGATTAAGGAATGTGGCAGAAAGCAAGCACCATCAGCGGATGATTACTCAGTTCTACTGGGGATAATATCTCCCGTATTTCTGCTCACAAGTAAAGAAAATCACTCGAATAATCGCTTTCCTGTAC